GATGGTGTCATTTTCATCATAAACATTATAATTTTTATAATGTTTTTTAACATTAGTAACAGCAAAATAAGATTACGTAAAATATTTCGTAAATCAAAGAAACGGGTAAACGGACGAGATGGGCGGTGCTCGTAACTGGCTCATTGGGGAGTTAGTACAAGTGTTGCCATCTATGCGTAAAAACAATCAAACAAGTACTCACGGTGGGCATAGCACGTGCGTACACGTCATACCTGGCACCAAGGGGTTATTAATCTTACCCAATAGGTTTGGTGGTATAGTACATCAGTCACAGTTATATGTTAAGTTATATGGACCAGTTTCATTTTATTTTTGTTTTTCTCACCTCCTACATTAAATATTCTGCAGTTCTATCCACCATACAAAAACAAAATAAAACAAAAAAAAAGGTGTGGCCTTATGGTAAAAATGTTAGCTGGAGTTGAGTTTATAGGGGACCATAGGCGCCAATGAGGAGTCAGGGTTGCAAATTTGTATTAAATTTTTACTCGCTTCACTCCACAAACTAATTGTTTCTTAGGCACTGAGGATTACTGGCTCGCAAAAGGTGAGGGATAAGATATAGAGCTTGAGTATCCGCACAGGCTTTCCTGTAATTCATATCACACCTGCATTATGGAGTGGCACATGACTCTCCTCTATGATAGTAGGTGAGTTGATACAGAGGGTGGAATCATTATTGACACCCTTGATGATTTTTTCAAGGGTCACGTTGCATCTCTGAAGCATTTTTGACAAGCTTGAAGCGCCGTTGTCCACATCTCCAGGAGCTCAACCTCCATCGATGTTATATTGATGCATCAACTACCAAGTTTTCAGCTCTGCCTGCCTCTCTAAGGAAGTTATCCCTCTGTGGTTCAGCACTCTTCAATCTACCACAGGTGAGTGGTACTATCTGCTGAATGCTCCTGAAAATTGTTTTTAGTCCAAGTATTGTAAGTTAAAGCTTTATTCACAGCATAGTATGATAACTTCTTTATCTTAGAGACATACATGAAACATTACTGATATGTTGTATATCTTTAAGACTTAGGGGAAACAGTGCTGATATGTTTGTGTGTCAAAATTGTCTACAAGCTGGTGTGTGTTAGAAAGAAAAATTAGAAGCATGGGAAACATACATTTTCTCTACACTACTATCTTGGCTATACCATTAATGAGTGTTTAGATATTAAGGCTAAAAAGAGGCTTTAAGCCTACTTTTGAAGGCCAAACAATTGAACATATGTTTAGTGTGCTTTAACTGAGAGCAGCCTCACCCATCTTGGAGTGATAGGGTTAATTAATGAAATGTATGAGTTTCATATTCTATAATTTTTTTATACATTAGCAAAGTGTTTTCTTGTACTAATTTGAAGACATGGATCAATATATAAAGCGGGACAGTTGACCGTAGTTTTAATGCAACTTTTCTCCTCCTTTGCATTTAAGACTATTTATCAGTATGCACTAAGGCTATAAGAAATGTTATACTTTTGTTCACTGATACAGCACTCACTTTCAGAACCGCATGGTGGTGGTGACATCGCCATTTTTCCGACTCGAGAAGCACCTACCTGTCTTGGAGGAGGTGGTTCTTGAGGGTTGTGGTGCCTGGCTCACTCGGCAAGACCTCACACTTCTCATGAGCCACTGTCCTGCGTTACAGGTATTTACTGTTTTTGCTTAGCCTTTGTACAATTTCCTTTCAACATCTGCATATACAATTTTACATGTGCTTGAGACTGAAACAATTATGATTTTTGGAACGCATACTGTATATACAGTATCAGCAAAAAACCTTGAGACCTAGCTAATTCCTGGTAACACATTGTAATTATTGTTCTGTAAAACAAACTTAAAAATTATTATTTTTTAAATTTCAATATTTTATCATGTGTCCACTGGCTTTGATGACCTTTTGGACTCTAGCAGGCATGTTTCAAGCTAGATTTTTGAAATTCTACAGAGCTTCCTTCACTGATGATGAGTCCTTTTTGTTCAAGGTCATACTACCTCTTTGCCCAGGCGTTTTCTTTTCGATTGAGGCCAGGCAAGTTACCTGACCAGTCCAGTAGTGATATTCCATGGTCAGTGAGCCACTTCATGGTCTTCTTTGACTTGTGACAGGGGGCAGAGTCTTGCATGAAAAAAATTCTCTCGTGGATCTCATAATGTGGAAGTAATTTCTCTTCTAGCACATGATGTAGCTGTCCAAGTTCATGGTAGTTGAGTGGAAGGAACTGCAGTCCCCTACATCCCTTTACACCACTGAAGGAGGCCCAGACCATGACTAAATCAGGGTGTTTAACTGTCTTTATGGTGTAGTGGGGATTGCACCTGTCAGCTCCTGGTGGCCGCCTTATCTTACCCTGCTTGCTTCTGATGCATCTGGGTGTAGATTCATCACTAAACATGACCCATTTACATATCTCAGGTGCCCAGTCTTTATATTTATGGGCAAAGTCAAACGTTTCTGCTGCATCTGCTTGGTCATTACAGTTTTTGGGGCAGCGCAACGAGATGGCATGTGAAGGTCCTTCTGCAGCCTGTGGTGCATGGTCTGATTAGAGATGCTTTTGAGAAGCATAAGAGGGTTTTGTTTGATCTGTGTAGATGTTAATGTGGGGTGCTTCAACACCTCTCTCTGAATTAGGTAATCAGTATGTGAAGATGTTTCCTGGGGCAACCAGGAATGTGTCTGTGTGTGGGAATGACATCAGTAGGCTGGCTACAAGCAGTAGCCAACAGGCGACAAATGGTTGCCTCAGAGGGCCCAACTCGCTGGAGATTTCTTTGACTGACACATTCTGTTCCATCAGTGTGAGAACACAAACCTCCTCTGCCTTACTCATATAACTATTGGGCATTCTAGTTAATTCTGTGACAACTGTTGCTGTTTGCTAGAAATGATGTGAATGGGGGTAGAGAAGCGGGCAGTTACCACAGCCTTTGAGCATCAGAGAGGGAATAGTGCTGTGTTATCTGGGTGTCACTGCCCAGCATTAGGTTTACTGCTTCTCTGCCAAACGTAACCGGGCGGCCATTGCATAAGCACACATCACAAGTGTATGGAAGACCTTACTTTTGAGGCTATTGGATAGGTCCAAGGTTTTTTGCCAGTAATTGATAGATTAGGAACGAGTAGAATGATTATGAATAGTAATGACAAGGCCATATATGCAATGGCAAGTGATTTAAATACCATGAATAATTACATCACATGCACACCCCCCCCCCCCCCCCCCCCCCCCCCCCCCCCCCCCCCCCCCCCCCCCCCCCCCACCCTGGGTGGCCACTACCAGCCGACGGTCTACTACCCACAGACTCAGCATCCGGTAAACCGGCATCGAAGGATCCTCCATCGAGTGCTGACATAATTGTGGTTGATATCCTTGGCCACTGTATACCATATCATTATACCACACACACACAGGCACATACACATTATACTTTAAACACACATACATACGTATAACATGCAACATACACAAAAATCTTATAGCTCTAACAAAAAATACACACATGCTTTTGGTTACAGATTGTAAACGTATGGACGGCACGCTACACCCGTACTGGCCATTGCTCGTGGGACAAAAGGGACGACAAACATAGTAGCAGTATCATCTTAACACGGAAAAGGAGGGCCTGAACAAGAAGACACAGCTAAAGTATGAAAAAGAAAAAAGGTCTGAGGATCCCTACTCCTTATCCATGTCATAGGATGGAATGTTGTGCATTTGGTGGGATATGAGAGTAGCATTGTGTTCTCCAGTTTAAGAAAGTGGTTCGTTTTCAAGGTGGCAAAGAGATAGAGCACCGTTAAGGAGATTTCTACCATCATTTGTAAAAGACCAAGAGGAGAAGAGTCTCATCGGTGTGACAGCGATCCAGGTGGACACGGAATTACCTCAGCCATGGCAATGCTACACCGTGCATTATTCACCTGGTTCCTCCTCCTGGTCTTTCTCATCTTGCTTGCACTCCGGCTTGACCTCAGAACCCAATGGAATTGGTTCATTGTCTTTATCCCCATGTGGTTCTATGATGCACTTCTTCTCATATACATCAGCATCCACATGATCAATGAATGCCGCACGGCTGTTGGAGTATCAGGGGGCTCTCACCACCGCACGGCCAGGCAGCGTCTCTCAGCCATCCTGAAACGGGTCTGGCCCCTGCTGGCTGTCATTCTCAAAATGGCATTCATGGTGGCCCTGTGCCTAAAGCAGAATCACGAGACGACGAGAATTACATCTTACCACGTTCTGTTGCCGCTGTGGATTCTCCTGCTGGGTCTGTGCATTAATGTCCTGCATTGCTTAGTGTTGCAGCACCAAGATCGGTTTCCATGATGTGTAGGGAATGGGAGAAGAGCAGTGAGTGTATGTAATTATATGAACTGTACAAAATGTAGCATGGACTAATGAGTGTTTCCTGGAGGTTATTATTCCTTTTTTTAGATATATTTTTTCTATTATTATGTGGATGTATTTGTAAAGTATTTGTGTCTACAATTTTCTTACTAAATTCGTTAAATTTTCAGATAACAAAAATATTATAATTTCTTCAGGAATATGTAGAGGGAGATGCTTAAACTTGCAATGATAAAACAAAGAAATCCTAAAATTTGTTTATCTTCTAGATGCATTTTTTTTTTTTTTTTTTTTTTTTTAACTCTTATAATGTAAAACTGTCTGCCTGTAGGTTCCATAGAAAGCATATTTAAAGGTCATTTAGATAGGCTGAACTTGGTTTTTCTTTATTGAAAATTATAACTTAGATGGAATACTTAAAAGATGTAGTATTTCAATTTTTTCTTTTAATATTATACAGGTGCTAAAATAAAGCCTATTAATACTTTCTGAAGAAGTTTTGTACTTATTGTCTCTTGGGTTTACTTATTACCTTTATAAATGTTCTGTTGGTGAATTAGGATTTGGTTTAGTTCATGTCCTGTGAAGTAATATAAAATGAAGGGGTTTTGGCTTTGTCTTCAAGAGGAGACCATATATATATATATATATATATATATATATATATATATATATATATATATTATATATATATATATATATATATATATATATATATATATATAATATATATAATATATATAATATATATAATATATATAATATATAATATATATAATATATATAATATATATAATATATATAATATATATAATATATATAATATATATAATATATATAATATATATAATATATATAATATATATAATATATATAATATATATAATATATATAATATATATAATATATATAATATATATAATATATATAATATATATAATATATATAATATATATAATATATATAATATATATAATATATATAATATATATATATATATATATATATATATATATATATATATATATATATATATATATATATATATATATATATATATATATATATATATATATATAATTTTTTTTTTCTTTTTTTTCTTTCTTTTTTTTCTTTTTTTATTAAAGAGTGAGTGATATAGATGTAGATAAAAGTCTGCCTCTTATAAATATCATTTAATGTTTCTGGAAAATTGATGATTAGGTAAATTTGTAATGAAAATAATTATTGTGTTAACATTATGAAACAGATTCTTATTGTCACAGAGTACTCTCAAACAAATATCAATATGCATAGGTCTGTGAAAGTAAAATATTTTTTGGGAGAAAATGATGTCATTAAATAAAAATTTTGCAGGGATACAAATCATGTCATCTAATGTATATAATATAAAACTGATGGAAGCTTAGTTATTAACAAGATCTTATCCATGGGACTTTTTTCCCAAGAGTCAAAGGAGGAGAGTCAATGGGTAATCCACTGAAGAGACAGTCTTTCCCAGTGTTATTAAACCCTCTTTACGAGCAGCTTTGTAGTATCAAAACATCAGGGAAAGAGTAAAGTTATTGGTTTGCGTTTTTATAAGTAGTAATGTGGTCGGATAAGAGTAACGAAAAAGGGGAAAAGACTTTGTAGCAAAGATGTGTGAATGTATTGTCTTGGAAGGAGGAAGCGTTCTTGTAAATTCTGTTGCTGTCATTTTTTCAACGTATTTCTGGTCATGCAACTTATGGATAGATTCTGCATTTTGGTAGTTATTATTATTTATAATATGGTTTTATAAAGCCAAAAATCTGATGCTTCAGGTTTAACTTTGGAAAGTCTGATGTTGTCAATGTTTCTTCTTCTTCTTCTTCTTCTTCTTCTTCTTCTTCTTCTTCTTCTTCTTCTTCTTCTTCTTCAATGAAAGTTTGACTTTTTTTTTTTTTTTTTTTTTTTTTTTTTTGAGAAATATATTTGAGATGTTGGAGGAATATTTTAAATCTCAGCTCCAGTATCGGTGATTTACAATGGTCTGTGTTACAAAAGCTCAAGTATTTATCCTTAATTCCTGATATTTATGTTACTAAGATTTTTGTGTTTCAGTAACATGCATTATGAACATTACCATTTTGTTTACTTAAGAAAAGTGGAGATGGTGTATATATTTACTAAATTATATTTCTAAACGCTGAATGAAGGAGTGTTGATACTGAAAGTTAAGATATATAATTTATGTGCAAGAACATGATACATCAACCTGTAAACTTTTGAAGTGTTAGCCACATCTTTATTCATTGAATTTTGTTTGTCAGTTCCATTGAAACATGAATAAAGGCGAACTTCCGATTCAAACTGTCCTGAGTTTAATTAGAAGTATATATGAAGATACATTACAGCAAGTGCTCTGATAAGTGAATCTTGGTGAAGCAATGTATCAAGATATGTCAATCCAGTTAGTTAAGTGATGTATTGACTAAGGACTTACACTACATGTCATTTCTTGAAGTGAATGACTTTACTTTTTTTTTTTTTTTTTTTTTTTTTTTTTTAATTTATTATTTTTTTTTTTTATCAAGCAGTAAAATGTTTCATGTGACCTTACCAAAATACTTCCAGCTGTATAGAAACAAAGCATACATCTTGGGTGGCCTGAAAATCCATTCTTCAGCACATGTAAATGTTAGGTATGTAATAGTAAGTAAAAATGACTTCTGAAGGTAATGTTAATGGCTGTTTGTGTTGAATATTTTTTCTTCTTCATAATTTTGCTCTAAAGATGAAAGGGAAGGTGATGGGGGAAATAATTGGAATGTATGGATATTGATGATAATTGTTGATAGATTGTTTTTCACCAAATCAAGGGAGAAAGGAGGGTATGAAGATTTAAAATGTAAGATTGAATGCATACCCACTCCCACTCCCACACGCATCCAGTTGCTCTCACTCACTCTGTTACTCTGTCATGCTCTCATTTACTCCCTCTCCCTCTCCCTCCCTCTCTCTCTCTCTCTCTCTCTCTCTCTCTCTCTCTCTCTCTCTCTCTCTCTCTCTCTCTCTCTCTCTCTCTCTCTCTCTCTCTCTCTCTCACATCCTCATTCCTTTCTCTCTCACATCCTCATTCCTTTCTCTCTCTCTCTCTCTCTCTCTCTCTCTCTCTCTCTCTCTCTCTCTCTCTCTCATCTCTCTCTCTCTCTCTCTCTCTCTCTCTCTCTCACTCACATCCTCATTCCTTGCTTTCTTTCTTTCTTTTTTTTTCTTTCTTTCTTTTCTTTTCTTTTCTTTTCTTTTCTTTTCTTTTCTTTTCTTTTCTTTTCTTTTCTTTTCTTTTCTTTTCTTTTCTTTTCTTTTCTTTTTTTTTTTTTTCTTTTCTTTCCCTCCCTCCCTCCCTCCCTCCCTCCCTCCCTCCTTTGGGTATGTGACATTGTAATAGAACAGGCTTTTAGCATTAAAATTCTTATAATTTGCTGCTCTGTAAGCTGTATAGCTTTTTTCTTGTGTATAATGAAGCATAGCATACAACATTAAATAGAATGTTTATTTATAAAGCACACGCACACACACACACATGCACACACGCACACGCACACACACGCACACACACGCAGACACACGCACACACACGCACACACACACGCACACACACACGCACACACACAAAATTTTATGGTATGTAGTAATTTAGTATGTGGATAATTTTGCAATATGTGAAATCATAAGTATTTTTAAAAATTTACTGAAGAAAAATGAAATAAAACATTCAAACACTTTAGCATTCGCATTGCTCGAGACAGCCCTAACATAGTATGGAAACCTTATTTCTGTTTATGTTGGTCAGTGAAGGGCTAGACCATGTGAAGGTATGCTTCTGCATTGAAAGATGAATGACCTAGTTAATTAAGGTACTGCTTAAAACATCTAGTACATAGTTTTGAATGTTACATTGTTGTTCAATCTGTGATATGAAATGTTTTAATTTTCCCACTGTAAGTGTAGTTTTCTTAATAAAGAGATACAAACACATTTCACTTTGTTCCCAGGAAGTATGGTTGAATGACAGTTAGAAAATCATTACAAAAGTATCATTGGGAAGTTTCAGTTTTCAGTAGACTGAAGCAGGCCAGCCAAATTAGCTAACCCCAAAATAAAGGAAGTGAGAGAGAATGTCAGAACATGGATTTCATGTGTGAAGGAATTTATGAGGGCTGGATGAATCTGGTTAGGTAGCAGAGTGAGCAAAGTGGATACTGCACCTGGAGGAGGAATACAGGAATCAGTAGATGGAATTAAGAACCTAGCCACTGGGCGGGCAAGCTAGCCCAAGGCAGTGCTAGTCCCAAGCCCGGGTAAATAGAGAGGGTTGGTGTCAGGAAGGGCATCTGGGGAAGGAGTTAAGGGAGTGGTGCAATTGGCTCATATGAGGAAAGAGAATTAGCTATCTAAGGAAGAAATAGGGAATTCTGGGAGGATGTCCAATAGGGTAGGGGATCCAGGAGGTTAGGGTGAGGGAGGAAAATCCGAGTTACAGATTACTGTAAAACAGGGTCAGGATAACAGGATGTGTGGAACTGAAAGAGGAAGATTGCATAAGGAGCATAGAGGTGCATCAGATTGTGACATGAGATGGAATGTGTGAGGTGAGTGAGTCCAGTTTGTAAGCGGGCAAGTGCACTTCCCAGTGTAATGGTTACCCCTTGCTTCTTGTTCTCGTGGGGGGCTTAGGAGACATGTACATGTATATATTTGTGTGTGTGTGTGTGTGTGTGTGTGTGTGTGTTGTGTGTGTGTGTGTGTGTGTGTGTGTGTGTGTGTGTGTGTGTGTGTGTGTGTGTGTGTGTGCGTGCGTGCGTGCACGTTACACAAGGAATAAACAAGTTCTGTAATCTATAAATAATCAGTTAAGTTTTAAGCTTTATGTCCTATTTTCCATGTAAACAATTATTACAAAATGCTGCAAAAGAAAATCTAATTCATGAAGTATTGGATCACGAAGTATTGGATCACAGTCAAAAGAAAATGAAACTAATAGTTTGTCTCACTAATATAAAATTTTATTCTAATGTAATTTAAAAAAGGCATCATATTTAACCCATTGCCACCGGGGATGGCATGTACGTACATGCCATGCCCACTTTGAGTCGACTTGTTTGATTGTTTTTACACATAGACCCCCCCAATCCCTTGCCCATTGTTGTCGTGGGGAGGCTTAGGAGGCGGAGACTGGGACCCAATGATGGGGAACTCCCCAACCTTGGGACTCAGCCCTCGACTCGACTAATTATGCATGGTCTTTTTTTCCCTTCCCACTTTTGTTTCTGTCCCTTCACCAAACCCTTCTGCTATCCACCTCCTAAGGTGTGAGAGCCGTGCTGAAAGGATGAAAGGCTGACTTTGTGCCAGTCCTGAATGGCCTGAGGGAGCCATGGGCACGGTATTCCCCTGATTTTAGTTATCTAGCCCTTACCCCTCAAGGGGACCCTGAGGGGTGGACTGTTTTTATCCCCAACATAATCCAGGCTTCCCATGGCCAGTAATGAAAATATATCCCCACTGTTAGGGGCAATGAGGCTTGCCCCTTTATCAAATAGCCCCAATGAAGTAAACCCACCCGATTCCCCGACCCCAGGCTCTCCTTTGACCACGGC